CTCTCGCATTTTTTTGAACTCTGTGGTGGCCTTAGGAGATCTTCCCACTGTTGTCCTCTAGTCTCCCTTAGTGCTTGCTTGTTCCCTCTTCCAATCTTTCAGCGCGTTTTTTGGACAAAAATATGTTATAAAAGTTCTCAATATCACTTGAGCAAACAATGATTAACATTGTGCTGGAGATTTTCCAAATATTACTGATTTAGTTAACGGTGGTGATTATTCAAGCCGAAGAGCTACCTGCTATGGATCTTGGCGGCACTTCGGATCCATATGTGAAACTATTTCTTCTTCCGGACAAAAAGAAGAAGTTCCAGACTAAAGTTCAGCGTAAATCGCTCAATCCTGTCTTCAATGAGAGTTTCACCTTCAAGGTAAACATTTTTCAGCGATTTTTTACTCATTTCTCTTCATTATCCACTGCTTGTTCAAGAATCTGAGCACTCAAAATGCCTCTAGGGTGTTAGGATTTCTAGTATAGCGTAAAGCTTTTTTCCGTAGACATGTAAATGTTCAAAATAAGATGACTCGCAGCCGTTTATTTCTGTCGTTCGCGTTTCTATGAGGTTTCCACAGCGAGTCGCCCTATTTTTAAGCTTTATGGAGGAACGTCAACAAAAAGTCCTTGACGGAGGAAATTACTTTATGTCCACGTGCTCATCCTTTGCCTACGCCCTGTGTGCCTGAAATATTCAAGCTGAAAAGGGGGTTCAGCAAAATATCTGTGAATTCTATGAATGATAGAAACTTCCGAAAAGGCTCCATTATCACCAGGCTGCCTGAACGGGTCAAGTGCAGTGAAGCCTCACACTTACTTGGATAGAAACCTCCTCCAACCGATTTTTCCATCCTCCAGGTGGTCCTGGGAACAAACTGTGATAATTTTGCACACTGTTGGTGCTGAAGATTTTAGAGTTCTGAGGGAACTCGATTTCTTCGTGGACGGTGTAGCCTGAAAAGATGGCCAGCATAGAAAGCTCTTATGTTAATCATTTCGAATTCAAAGGCAGCGAACATGTTGTTTGAAGCCCAGGGCGGTTCTGAGCCGTGAAATAGTGGTGGAATGGCGTTGGGAGGTGGTCACGATCACATCCCTCAGAGCGCTACGGTTTGAGCTTCGAGTCACCCCATCAGCGCTGCGTGTTGATCTTACTAATCACTCCATACACCGTCATCCGCCCTCAGCCATCGTGTCATTGACCCAAAGGGACCTTCTAACTTTCGACAAAGGTACACCATTTGCGCGTAACATAGTTGAGGACGGTTACACTTGTATAGAGGGGCGGAGTTCATCCAAATGGGCGGGGCCAATGTACTCTCTGGGTTGAGCGCTATCTCTGTTTTCCAAACTATTTTTACTTAAGAGGTTTATTCCAAATTAATGCCAACCATTTCAGATTCCCTACAATGAAATCGGCGGCCAAACACTGGTTTTGAACGTTTTCGACTTTGATCGATTTGGAAAACACGATCAGGTAAACATTCTGATATTCAAGTACTTTGATCTTGCATTGAAAACTCTGTTCCTTTTCAGATTGGTCAAATTTCCATCCCGCTCGGGAAAATCGATCTCGCCACAACTATCGAGAAAACTGTTCCTATAGAAAGTCCTCCAGTATGTACCTTTTACTATATGAACCAGATCTTTATTGATTACTGAAAAAATAGTCTTGCCGGTAACGATTCAGAAAATCACCGATTTTTTTTTCTTTCAGGAAAATCGACTAGGAGAAGTTTGTCTAGCGTTGCGCTATGTGCCCAACAAGAACAAGCTTTCCGTTGTCGTCATGGAATGCAAAAACCTCAAGAAAATGGACGTGCTGGGACTGTCTGGTGAGATCATTCGTTATAGCTTTGCCTTTTGCAGACTGAACGGAAAGTCACCAATTTTTGTGATCGACACTCTCCTTTCTTTCGCTGCATACCGTTCTATCGACCTCAGCCAAAATATCGCAGAAAGCTGTATGTTGTTCCCCATTGATCAGGTCTGTGCGCGCTTTTCTGTGCACTAAAGGACGGGCTGATTCACCCGGCTGGCTGAGCTATATGAGGCAGAGCTGAAAAAATGTGCGCTACTTGTCGCGCTAAATTGCTACAGCCTTCCGTTCAGAGTCCAGTGCCTGGCGACATAGTTGCTACCACTTATTTACTTGTTTTTGGAGAGGGGGGGGGTGGAACTCATTTGTTCGCCAAACAAGGACTTTTATTCAAAGCCTTCTGAAAGCTTCATTTGTTATTATCGAGTAAATTTCGTTTAATTGGACATGACCAAATTTTCTGACCGCTCAGAAGCTCGAAACATCATTCGGGATATTCCTCACATAAAATGAACTATGGAGCTGATTGCATATTTGGCTCAAAGACTGGGGACGCAATGATTCTCCACTACAGCCCTGGTTCTAGTTCCAATCAAATCCGAGGTAAGCAAACCAGCCCTTTTGGCGTTTCTGCTGGGGCCGTATGCTGAATGTTGGGGAGGGGATGGGGTCCCCGACGGTCGACGGACTACTTCAACTCGGTCGGTACGGTAGGAGAGTGATGACGCAAGTGGTGCAGCTGGTCCAGCAGCTCCGCCAAAAGGGCTGGTTTGCTTACCCCAGGACTAAGCCTTGGAGAGGGGACGCAGACCCGTCCTCTCTTTAAGGCTTAGTTCTGAGGTGAGCATCAAATTGAGGCGGTTCAAGAGGACCGAGTTGAAGTAATCCGTTGACCGGGACCGGGATTGGGGACCCTATTCCCTCAGCATTCAGCATACGGCTCCAGCAAGCAAACAAGGGCAGGTTTGCTGCACTTTCATCAAAAACTGATGTAATTTTGACTTATATGATCCATGAGATGATACAAAGGTTTGTGTGACGCGTCGGAATGATGTGGACGTTTGGGTATGTGCTCTGATAAAGGCTTCAGACGCATCTTATTCATAATTGAGATCATATCCGTTTTCCAGGAAGACCACTTATCTAATGTCTACTAATAAATACTTCTTTCTACACAGAAAAAGGAGAGCAAATTTCAAGACTCGGCAATTTCTCGCTTCTTATTTATTCTCGTTCTTCGAGACTAGAAGCTTAATTAGATCTTTTCTAGATCGTCACACATTCGCTTCAACTTAATTATTGTGTTCTTACTCGAAGATTTGAAGGGAAGGCGGTTGGGGCACAATTGGTTGAATAAGACTAGTTTTTTTGAAATAAAGGAATTTCCACGGCACCGGAATGGATTTGCTGCACGAAATGCTATTAGTACGGATCAGTTCATGGGAATTTGAGTGATCTTCGATGTTTGTTTGCGCTCGACACGTGGATACTACTACCGTGCATTTCCGTCACAAAAATCCGGTCGCCAACTGTCAATAGGTTCGTGGAAGATTCCTTTAATGAGTGTTAACGGCGATTGGGGAGAAAATGGTAAAGGCCTCTTCGCAAGGGTGCCGGCACTGAACCAACTGTAAGCAGACGTCGACAAAGATTGGAATACGCCGGCTGATCTGTTAAAATTGTGGAGGATTGGTGAAGCCGTATTGGTCTGATGCACGATAGGCGCTGCTTATGTATGTTATAACAAGCAGAGTGCTGGACCTGAGAATCAAGTTAAGTATGAAGGGGAGTGTGGAAGAGAACCCTGATGCGACTAGGCGTAGGCTGATGGTAATGGTTGCTATCTTGGGGTGGTAACGTTGGAAAAGCGATTTCCAGCTTACGAGCAATTAGTTGAGTACGCGACAATGGCGAGTATGGTGTAGTTGGCAATGATGCGTCACGTGCGCGGTTGGAAAGTCAGTTCAGGTAAGTTCAGCTACCTATGGGAGGCCCAGGTCGGTCCGGCAAGGAGCGTCGTGACGCATGCCTCAAAACTGCCTTTTTGTGCTTAACGATTTCTTTAAAAGAGTTGTAAAGCAAGGAAGTTGCGCGGCCCAGGAGCGTGCTCGCAAAGAGGTCGTCGGGACGTCTTCAAAGAGTTCTGCTCCTCTTCCTGCGTTTATCATATGGACAAAAACTTTCTGATTCCTTATTTATAGCCATCGCATTAATTTCTGATATGAAGAGTTGCGAGAAATGCTTGAAAGTTGGGACAGGGTCAACCGTCCGTTGGACAAAGTCCAACGCATGGCTCTCTAGCGTGTGAGAGTAATGCCGAGAGTGAACGTACGCACGGAGACACAGACGGCTCGCGCAAGGCGAGTGCGAATGCCGGCGCGGAGAGCGGTCAACGTCGGTCCAACGTCGGTCCAATGTCGGTCCAACGTAACGGTTGACCCTGCTTGCGGCACTATCTTCATGTCTCTCTCTTCCTTTGTGCAGTGTCCTTTTTTGGCGGCAAGCCGATCGTGTAGCGTGTATTTTGGGGGAATCAAACTACTCCAATAGACAAATTCAGTCGATTCGAGTTTCGGTCACTGTTATTATTTATACTAAGTTGCGTGAACCTCATCAACCGTTTATATTCATTCAACTTAATCATCAAATCGTGCGATGGGATTACTTTTAATGATTTCTAAAAGAACAACCTCCAACTGGCTCAAGTTTCTCCTGATGATGAATGCGTGGCGACCAAAATCAGAAGGTCTTCGCAGGCGTTTTGATATCAACATTCGTGCCGTGAAGTTAACGGCACTACTGGCTGCACGGTTGGCCCGAAGCCTTGCAATCGCGCGTCAATCTCTTTTCGTTTAAGTAGATTTGAATAAATGGCGCGACTCAAAAATTTAAAATGGGTACTTTTTGTTTTCTACCCTTTCTTTTTACTACCAAAACTGATCACTGCAGAATTCAGTGCCAAACCCATGTATTTCGGATTCATCGACAAATCGGTTAGGTGTTCTGCGACTTACTGTAGTCCGCATTTCACAGTATTTCGTTTCCAGATCCCTACGTGAAGATCTATTTGATGTTACAAAATAAGCGATTGGAAAAGAAAAAGACGACAATTAAGATGAAAACACTGAATCCTTATTACAATGAATCATTCAGTTTTGATGTGACACCGGAAAAAATGCAGGTGAGTTGAACATTTCTGGTTCTCAATAATAACCAGCCAAGTAAGGTTACGATTTTAGAGGGGAAGCTGGCATTTACGCGTCTTTGACTATGATCGGTCGACTACTAACGAAAGGACTAGGACAGGGTGAGGCCATTTTCATTACTCTTTCGATAGCTAATTAAGGCTGCGACATACATTTATTTACAGTTACAACATTACATTTTGCTTTCCTTAACCCTTTGGCGGACCGTGTGGCCCGCCGGTGGGCCACACTTTCACTTAGAGGCGACTCGTTTTTCGTCATTTATTTGGCATTTTTGAGTGTTTCAAAGCTGGCTGTATACATTATTGAAAGCGCAAAACAATATGCTAGTTACTAATAGTGAAATTGTTTGAGTGTTAATGGATATTGACGAAAAAAATTTAAAAAGAAGTGAAGCAACGCACCGATAGGCACCGCACAACGGCGTGGTGTCAAGGTTAATATTACTGATTACAATTCCTATGTTTTCTTTTATATATTATTTTACTATTTTATATGACCATTTGTTATATTACTGTTCTTTTATATTGGAACAAATCAAAGTGCCTAACATTGTCTACTCACAACGGAATGATGTCCCGTTCAATACGACTAAGGTACTAGGAAGTCAAACAAGTCATATACGACTTTCTCACTGAATGGCCGGATAACTTTGTGGCGAAGAGCACCGCGTTAATAGGAAGTGTTCATGAAAATTCCCATGGAGACGATGAGGAAAGTGACGTAGAAGGATTGGGTAGGGATCTTACCCAATGAGATAACAGGTGCCACATTCAGGGATAGTGGCGCATTATCAGCGGAGTGATAAGGCGCCGAAACCCACTTCCGGTTCGCCGTTGCACCTCCTTATCAGACGTGAAAGGGATGCAATAGCAACGTGCTAGATATGATACGGTTATCGTTATCGTTCGATTTTCATGCTGGAGTGCACCTCATTCTAGCAGCCGTATCTTCTTATCTAATCGTATCGTATCTTCCATAGGGTTACGCAGGAGGCGGTCATATGGCGCGATCCCATTGGCATTAGAGCGCAATTGCCCCATCCTGCTGCGGCCGGACAACTCGTCCGTATCACTCAACTACTAGACTTCAGTAATTGATCGATCTGATAATTTGGGTCTCAAAAATCTCGCTGAGTCCCAAAGATCTAAAAAAGAGCGGATAGCTTCGCTGGCCTGATGCCAAGGCAAGAGGAACGGAACAGAATGTGTTGCGCGGACGAGTTGTCCGGCCACAGCAGGATGTGGTAATTACGGCCTGTGCGCTCCAATGCCAATGGGATCGCGCCATATGACGCACACCCGGTTACGCTCGTCCAACCACTACCTATCTCCGACCTTATCATTGATAACGCAGAAGTCACCGATCTACGTGGAAGCTAGCGTGATTGCTTCCTCTGAAGAAAGGGATCGCGCTGGCTTTGTGCTGGAGCGATTTACGCGTTATTAGCCGAAGGACCCGAGTAAGAGCTGGGCTGAACGAGCGCAACCCCATGAAAGATAAGATACGATAAGATAAAGATACGGATGCTTGGTGGAAGGTGTAAGGTAGGATAAGAACGATAGGACGATAACGATCACTTTATCATATCAAGTACGCTGCCATTGCGACCCCCTACTCGTCTAAAACATGGGTGGTGCTGCTTATCGGAAGTGGGTGGCAGCGCCTTATCACGGCATTGATAAGGCCCCCTACCCCTGAAGTGCCAACTATCGGTTCATTGAGCAGGTCTCCTACCCAATCTACTACGTTTCCCGTCCGCCCCACCGCTACCTCTTCCTTTGAACTTGCTCCTTATATCAGTAATTTTTCACTAACGCTAAATATATGGTGGGCAAATTCCAAGGCCGGGAACGAATATCCTACTTGAAAACTTCTAGTCAGCAACAAGCTATTCTCTACACCAAGATCTCAAGAGGAGCAAACTTGGTGCCCATGAGCTCACGCCCTCAATTGGCGGTGCTCTTCGTAATTGGTATAGCTCTCTAACGCATTCATTCTTCATCATAAAGGGTAAACTGAATATTTTTCTTGCTAATACAGGATAATTAGTCAATATGAGGCCACTAATGACAGCTTGTTCTGGCCACATGTCGATCATAAGCTTTGCCCTTTTTGTGCCATCAATTACTGCAAAGGATTCCCAGCAGTCCTCTGATGCTATAAAGTGCATGCGAAGTAGGGCGAAATCGTCACAGTGCCGAAATGATCATCAAATGTTTGGCTTTGCACTACGGTCGCAAAACTTGCACCTAGGCTTTCTGGACCTCTAGCTACAACAATTACACCCCAATGCTCGGCCTGGCGCTTCTGTTTTTTGATGCTCCAGTTGCCATGAATTTAAAGATTTCAAGGGTTCCATCGTTGATCAATCCCCTTCTGTGATGCGCACGCATTCAATTTCCATCCTCAGTCGTAGAGGTGTATTTGAAAGCAGTATGGTCTACACAGTGATTTGCGGTGGCCGATGTATGGGTTAGCATTTGATCCTACCAGGAAAATCCGGTGCCAAACACTGACCCCGTCGGGATCTAAGACTTGGTTGGCCTAACGAGATTAGAGAAGGGATTTGAACACCTGACGGTGAGCGAAGGAGCTGGCAATATTCACCAATACCCTGTCTCAGCCCACACCAAGCCTATGGGGGTAGCCAAAAGGAGGCCAAAACTACTGATACAATCGAAAAAATTAAAAATTAAAACCAACAAATTGAACAGCACTATAATTCGGTTCTCGTGTAGAGTAAGTGGCTACTGGTGTGTCCTATAGCCCAGAGCTTATGCTTAACTAAATTCCCTTATGCAATTGAGAAAAGTGCGCTTGCTCCTGTGGTGGTAATTGAAAACCTTGAAGGGAGGACGTCCTGGTTAAAGGAATGGTCCATTGGTCGAATATCCCACTGAGAAACCTTATTGCTAGAGGAAGAACCCAGCAACTCTCATGATATTAATAATCGTGGGAGCGGTGCAATATCCTCTAGACCCAGCCTGGTTTTTGCGTAAGCAGGCGAAGAAATTTCTCCTTTAGCAGGCTAGGGTCTATATATATCTTATATCTATAAAGAACGGGGGGGGTACAGACAATAGATTGGTCTGCGGAGTGTCGAAATTGATGGTGGAGGTAGCGGGCTTATCCAGAATACCAATCCGCTCTAAAAATCATTAATTAGTCCACCATTTTGGCTACTTTCTAAGAAAAGTGTGCGCGCTACGTTGCCCGGATCATCGCGCAGCGCGCGCCTGAACTAATCGTTAGCATTCATTTGAGGGACTAAATGGTAACGGGTGTGATGGGATAGAAAATCCGTTGACTGTGGGTTGTGATGCTGATTTCCTTGCACTCGCCTATTTTTCAATTTAGTTTTCCCACTGTGTGGACAATCATCACGTTGGCTCAGGCGTTGTTTACTCAAATTTCATTAAGGCTGAAAATCGAATATTCCCGTCTAAACCATAACACTGCACGGCAAGCGGAAATTGAGGGAATGGGTAAAATACGGAACTCGGCGCTATCGAGAGATACGGGACATCCCTCTAGGGCTACGCCTAGGGGGTGCAGGAACATGGAGGAAGATAAAAGTCGCTCACGAAGCCTTGAATCCCGCGCTTGAAGTTGGGTCCCATTTTGACCAAATCGGAGATGTTTTACGGGTTTAAAATGCGCTGCCACCACATTGTCCCCAATATCTTGCAATAGCACCGCGAAATCTGCATCGCAGTCTCAAAAAAATTGAAGCTCATAAAAACCATGTCGAGTAACTTATTTATGACTGTCCGTTCATTTGTTCTCATTTTTATTCGACGCAGATAAATTTCCATTCGAATAAATGTTCAAGAAAGTAATATAATATTTATTCATATTCTCTATATATCTATCTTGTTATATATTTTAATATTGTCAGTACTATTTTCGCATTAAAATAATATTGTTTGAGAATTTTTTAAATGGGCGGAAATTAAATATTATTGAAATATTATGTTTAATTTTAGGTCATAATCGGAGGCAATGCTAGTGGAGCGGCGTTAAAGCAGTGGACGGACATGCTGGCGACGCCGAGACGGTCTGTGGCCCAATGGCACACCTTGATGCCATTTAACGACGATTAAGAGTTTTGTGGGCTGAGGCCGGGGGCTCATAGTCCTTTTATCGCAGGCCTACAAAGGGTTTCAACAAATGCCAATCATTATCCTCTCATCTGCCAGCCATCCTCACTATTTCATACTATTTCCCCATCCACACAAACACCCACACACCCATGCGCGCGCAGATCATTCTTGGATCGCCATCGCTGAACATATGAGACTAATTCTCTGGGTCGATCTCCGTGAGGTCCCAAGTTCACGGAGAAATATCATGTGCTCCATTGTGATTATTTTCATTGTACATTGTTTCCGAATCTTTACTTTTTGTGATTTTTTAAAGCATTCCATTCCCTTCAAAATGTACTGCATTTCTCGGTATTGTTCACACTTTCTGGCAACAACTGTAAAGAACTTAAGATCAAACATTGTCATTATCATATCATTATCATATTTATGTCATGTTATTGTAGAAATATGCTTATGTGCAAAGAATATATTTGTCAGTTAATTTTTGTACCAAACAGATGGGTGGCACTTAACGTATACGCAAAAAGGAGGCTGTCGTCATTCAAATAAAAGCGACTGTTCTCTAGTTTAAAAGGACGAATTCACGATGAAAAAGCAACCCATTTCAAATTAACCTAGGGATGGTGAGTGGTACACGAAAGAAGGAAGAAACATGAGAAACGCCCAGAACCCGAGAAATGGGACCCCTTCCTTGCCCGTTGATTTGAGCATTGATGCGACTCTCATCGCTGTGCCCTCTTCAACACTACGCTCTCTCAGCTATCTAATCACTCGCCACGTATTGAACTACGGCGAGTGATCAGATGATCGGTGGGCGGAGATCGCCGACCCGCCAGCTTTGAGGCATGATAGGTCGCCGAGGTCAAATTTTTCCATGCGAATTGCGCGTCAGTTCGCACCCTCAGGAGGTCCGTGGGTCCCTCAACTAGGTCAGTTTCCCTTTCTTCGACCTTCATTCTAATCGTGAATTCCTCCTTTAACTCCAGCTGCACGTGCATCACAGTCACACATCAAAAACGTAGAAGCTAATTTCAAAAGGCGAGATGGAAAAAAAAAACAGAACGTCCAAAAAACCGCATCGGCCAAGAATTTAAGCCGAGAGAGGCACTTGTCAAAGGAATTTCGCAGCCTATACGACCAGTTACTTGTCCACTTCCACTGCACGTTCTGTGTCCGGGTAGCGGACGATTCAACCGCTGCAGTGGCCGCGTGCGGCGTTGCTCGCCGCGCGAGCGCTGTGACCTCATTGGCTGACGACTGAACTGACTGTCTCCCGTCTGCGCCCTCTCGTGTACGGCATGCTCTCTCGAGTTTCAAGCACACTCACAACCCTACAAACTAATCTTGAATTTGCCCTAGATTCCTTGAAAAAAATTCCCTCGAAGAAAAGTGTAGGAAGGGCTACAGCAAAGGAAAAACGCACCAATCGCGATGCAGCGCACTTTTCGATTTTACAAGCGCCTTCAATTCCGAATGACTTCTCTCGCCAATTACCTTCGATTTGAATCCGGCTACGCATCCATTTGGTTTTTGAATGGCATGCTGCAGAAGAACATCTGCGCCTCATTGGGAATCTTTTGCTGGCCATTGATGAGCACATCGATATGTGACTTCAGAGAAATCCCCATATTTTCGTTTGTGGGATACGATAAACAGATTTGAAGGTCATCTTTCCGAAGTTGTGCCTCCCATTTCGAAAGGTCCTTCGCGGGCGGTAAGATTTTGCATATTGTCAGAAAAGTAATGCTCAGAACGACTAATGCTGCAGAAAGCACACAGAATGGTAAGGCTCTTGGCTGTGGCGTTGAAGCTAAAGGCTCACCATGAGATGCAGGCCAAACGGTAAACCGTGGAATTTGGCGTCATTTTTCACAAGAGAATAGAGGACTGAAAGATGCCAATCTCGGCAGAAAATTTATGCACACCTCCAGAACGGTGAAAAAATTTTTTATAATTGTAAGCTGTACAAAGCTAACAAAATCCGGCAATACAACGCAACAGGGTGCTCCGAAAATAGCAAGAAGTTCAAATTGTATGAAAGAAAACAAGTTTACCCTACTCAGTTACGGAATTCTCGTTCGACCAACCCCACACGCGCGCTTCGACAATCATACCACGGATCGAGTCGAGCTCAGGCCAAAAAACACCCATCCAGCAGACGATTCAAGTTGTAAGGACCCTGAGGTTGTTTTTTCCAATGAATTGAGATGTCTCGTGCATTAGAACAGGCGAATGATACAAAAGAGTGGGGATGGTATGCAAAATTCATGGTCTCGATTCACATCTCTTGAGGCTACAGTAGTAATGGCTTCTCCAGCCTTCCAGCTTCTCAAGCGCCTAGTAGGAAAGGATTTCTGGGCTCTCAGTAAACACTACTTTCTATTAGACCTCTGATTATTACAGTTGCAAATTGTTTAACTTCGTGTTTCTTGGTTTTTCTTGAGCACAACCTTATAAATAAACAAATAAACAAAGGGATCAGGTCACACCTCACCCTAAAAGTCAAGTTCAGATCTACTTGCGTCCAGGACAACTAAGACCCTCAGCCATCAGGGCTCGCATTATTGTTATCAAACTTTTTTTTACATTCGCAAGGCGAACTGTGGCCAAAAACAGCAGTTAACAAACAAAAACAAGTCAAAATTTGTTATCAAACTCTTCAATGAAAAATCTCACTATGAAAATGCCATCATGACTTTAGATGGATGTCGAATGCATGGCGCAATGGAGAAAAAGACTGAAAGACGTGAAACGCAGCCCATCTTTCCACAATATTATCTTTTTAAGCTTTGAATGCCACCAGAGTAATGAGGTGTGATATTCAGTTACACTGATTGTTTATTTTATCTACCGATTGACTCATCATTGAGATTATGTTACAATCGAGCGCATACCATTTGCTCAAATATCGACTAGGTCATCACCACGTGGAAAAGGAGTGACTTTTGAAGTTCTCCCAACACTCAGATTTGCCATTGACACAATTAAGTAATGACTTAGAAGTGTATTCACTTCAGTTGTTTGTATCATTTATCCAATTTGCTTACTTATTTATTTACTTAGAAATACATGTCTATTGTTCATATCATTCATTCCTACTTCTATGTGATCATTCACTTATCAGTCACTTCAACGGTCGAGGGAATCCTCGAACATAGCTCTCTATCA